GCCAATCTCTTTTACCCATTTAAAAAAATCAGGTTGTTTTCTTATTTAATTTTGAGGGATCTTTATATATTATGGATACAAGTCCTTTGTCAGAAACGTGACTTGCAAACATTTCTTCCCAGTCTGGGGATTTTTTTCATTTTTAAAAACAAGAATATTTACTGAGCAAAATTTTTAAATTATCATTTATCATTTTTTTCACTTATGAATCATGCTTTTGACCTCCCGTCTAAACACTCTTCTCCTAAGGCAAGGTCAAGTACATTTTCCCAGTGTTTTCCTCTAGAAGGCAAATGGCTTTATAACCAGGTTGGAGGTCTATGGGGGTGAATTTTCACATGTGTGTGAGGAGCATCTGAGGCCCTATGCTGCTGGGGGTAACCACAGCATCACTTGTTGACACAGCCCTCCCCACCCGACTCCTTTTCATGTCTGTTGAAGATCATCTGACACACTTGAGTCTATTTCTGGACTCTCTGTTCTGTTTTACTGATCTCTGTGTCTACCCTTTGCTGATAAACATTGCCTAATTGATTTTTGATTTACAGGTGGGTGGCATGTCTCTCAACTTTTCTCTTTCTCTAAATTGTTTGGTAGTTCTAGTTCCCTTGCCTTTCTATATGAATTTTAGAATCAGCTCACTAATATTCAACAACACAGTCTCCTGATCCTTTTAACATTTTTCTCACTGGTGTTTTCTACTTTTCAGTACACAGAATAGAACCTGCGCATATCTTGTTAAAGTTATAACTTTCAGTGTTTTATTTTTTGTATTATAAATGGTGCTTTTATTTTTCAACTCAATTATTCATTGCTAGTACAGAGAATTATAAATGATTTTAAAAATGTTTTCCTTGTATCTTGAAACTTTATTAAATTTACTGGTTTAGGAGGGTGTGTGTGTGTGCGTGTGTATGTATGTGTGTCAGGGTCTCACTCTGTCACCTTGGCTAGAGTACAGTGGTGCAATCACTACTCATTGTAGCCTTGAACTCCCTGGCTCAAGTGATCCTTCTGCCTCAGCCTCCCGAGTAGCTGGAAATATAGGTGTGTGCTACCATGCCCGGCTGATTATTATTATTATTATTTGTAGAGATGGAGTCTTGCTATGTTCCTCAGGCTGGACTTGAACTCTTGGCCTCAAGTGATCTTCCCACTTCAGCCTCCCATGGTGCTAGAATTACAGGTGTTGGCCACTGTACCTGGCGGGTGTGTATGTGTGTGTGTGTGTCTGTATTCCTTGGAACTTTCTACATAGACTATTATAGCATCTGCAAACAGAAATTTTTATTTACTCCTTTCTAATCTCTGTGTTTTAAATTCCTTATTACCTTATTCAGTATTATTTTTAAAAATTATAAGGATACTAATATATATTTCATTCATAAAATAATTTTGAGAATATTCTACAGAAAATAAAAAAAATTATGAAATAATCCTAATAGTTCAAAGCCTAATGATTTCAAGGATTTTTATGGAAGATTATGATATTACCTTCTTGATGTCTTTATAATTAGCATAACTACAAACCAAAAGTCTCTGTAGTTAGCTAGTAAGATAAGACTATGAATTGGTAACTAAGTTCACAGCCATCGTTTGAGATATTTCAGGACCACATAAACTGGCTCAGTTGAACACAGGTTACTTACTTATCCTGATCCCTGGATCTCAGACTAAAGTAGCTTTCTAAAAGGTCACAGACTACTCAAGATAAATAAAGACACCTGCAAAGTTAGAGTGCCATGATCATGTCAGTTTCTTGTCTTACTGGCAGTATCCAGAAAATTAAGTGACTAAACTCATCATGAGTAAAATTTAATAATTCAAAGCAGAACTTCAGTTTCAAAAGAGGAACAACAAAATATTATTGTTACAAATATACCACTTTAGTCTATAGGGAAAAAGAATTATCTAGTTTTAGGAAAAAGAATAAAGTCTTGCCTCTTAGTTTAATGGACTCATTCACTGCCTTGTTCATTAATAAAATATTTGCTGAACTTAAACTATGTCCAAGTATGGTTCAGGTCACAGAAACAACAGCAAAAAATGTTTACATTCAGGATTGGCTGATCTCATTAGAATGATCAGTCAGATTTATAATGCATCTTTTAGAGTAAAAAGACTGGTTGTCAAAACACATTAAAAACAGGATCTTTCAATTTAGAGTCTGGCACTTTCCTCTCTGTTGTGCAGGGGTGTGTGCCCTGCTTCTCTCTGAAGATATTTTATGGATTTCTGTGACCTTCGATTTGTGATTCAAGACCTACCGGCTAACAGACTCATTGGACAAGGCCTCACATTCAGTCCGCGATTTACTTTATGCTGCTGTCCCAGGCCCCTGACTAACTCTCACTCCCCACGACTCACATCTTCCTTTCTTGACGAAGACGCCGCTCGCTAAGAGCAGGGCTGTAGCCTGAGCCTCCACAAGCCCCTTGCACCTTCCATACTGGTGGATACCACTGACGTGGCAGGCTCTAGCTGCGCCAATTATTAGAGGATGATACAAGGTGCTGCTGGTAGACTACCTGGCCAGTGTTCAGAAGCAACAGGAAGTGTACAACAGTTCTCTAGCTTCAATGAGAAAAAAAATAACTACATTTTAGTATACATGCTGCTGAAGCAAGCACTGAAACAACTAAATTGATTTACCAACTTCAGTAGCTCACTACTTTAGTGTGACTTTATTTTCAAAGGATTTGAAATGTATTAGACTTTTAAACAAATGGATACTACACAGATAAAAAGTAAAGATTTTTGGACCTTGAAGAAAAGGAGCTTAGGGAAAATGAGTGACTGTTCTTGTCAAGGAAATGTAGGAATGGTGTCCTGACTTTAGGATACTGAAATATTCTCAATTGTTGATCACCTTAACCAAATGGAAATGCAACACTTAACAAGATACAACTCAGAGTTGAACACAACATACCCTCATGTGTAAATTGATCACTTACAGATTCCATGGCGATAGAGATAACCAGCTCCCTTGTTAGACACTCGTGAGCCAGAAACATCTCATAACTAGAGTGATTTAGGTATTCATAAAAAAAGATGCTGGTAGGTACAGTCCAAATCCTTGCAAACAGTAAACATACTACAGCCTCACCTCCAGCAGCTGGTGAAGGTGGCCTTGGTGTTATGGTCTCACTGACAAGTTTCTCTTAACCTGAGGGTCTTGCAGGGCCAGCCAGGGGTGACAAGTCCTACAGTGCCCTTCACTTTGCTTGGATACCAATTTCCTAGGGTTAAGGGTAGCTCATCTAGGCTTATATCCTTACAGGAGAAGCTTGTTTCCCTTATGTTTGTAAGGTAGCAGTATTTTAGTCTCTGGAAATGAAATACAAAGCTCCCAGCTTCCTGTGATTTTGGATCTTTGATCCTACCCTCCTGTACTTTTAGCACAATGATTTCATCTCCTTAGGATACAAAACCAGTCTTTCTTCTGGTTACAATACATGTAATTTGGGATAATATCTCCCAGTAGTCACAAAGATAGTACCATCAAGATAATAATGCCTGATAGCTATATTTTATTTTATACTACATTGGTGAACTAGATTTATTTGTCCTGATTATAAAAAAGTAATGGGCATTTTGATTTTTTCAAAGAAACCTAACATCTTTATTTCATCAAATCCTTACAATAACACCATAAAATCCAAGTTAACTTGACTACCCCAGCATCTGTCCAGCTAGTTAGTGGTTAGCTGGATAACTGTCTGTCAGTCAGTCAGTGGTGGGCTAGTCCAATCACTGGTTCCTTTAATGACTAATCCAACTCTTTCTTCACTATGCCAAACAGATATAGCTTTAAAAATCTGAGTTGATTATTCTAGATTATCAATTATAAACCTAAATAGAATTGAGGGCTAGTGGGTTTTGTTCTCAGTGTTGGCTCAGAAAAAGCTAGGCTTGTGGGAAATTCTGAAGCCACCATGATTTGTATCTAAAGAGAAAAGCTTTCTTTCTTTTGCCCTGTGTTCTAGTATTTTCTATGCTTTCATAAAATAAAAATGATAAACTCAAACCTCCTTTAGGAATATTTTAATCTTTTTTTTTTTTTGAGTTGGAGTCTCACTCTGTCGCCCAGACTGGAGTGCAGTGGCCACTCCCAGCCACTGCAACCTCGACCTGCTGGGCTCCAGCGATCCTTTCGCCTCAGCCTTCCAAGTAGCTAGAACTACAGGTGCACACTACCACGCCTGGCTAATTTTTTGATTTATTGTAGAGATGAGGTCTCGCCAAGTTGCCCAGGTGGTTCGAACCCGTAGGCTCAGGCAATCCACTCACCTCAGCCTCCCAAGGCACGGGATTACAGGCTAAGCCACCGAGCCCGGCTAGGAATATTTTAATCTTAACTGAGCAAAAATTTAAGTCAAGTGAAGGAATCTTTTGTGTAGTTTGAGGGGTTAATGAAAATTTCTGGGGGTGGATATTCTGCCTTAGTAGTATCACTGCAAGAATAGTTAAAGGTCTTAGGGAAAGAAACGTGTCGTTGGTCATTTATCAGACAGAATTCTGAAATCCACAACTAGAAAGAGATTTCTATGAATCACAGATTTCTAGTTTGAGAATGCTACATTCTGTGCAAATGAACAGGAAGCTGGGCCCACAGTGGCGCAACAATGCTACCCAGGTGAAACCACAGCTAACATGCATCCTTTATTCACAAATTACAAAATGAGCTCTTCTCAGACATTTGGGAAGCTCAGTCATCTATTTGCAAAATTCATAAAAGTTCCACAAATAGTTTACTGCATCTTTTAAAATTCTAATTTTATGTATGATATTAGAAACTTATTGTAAATATTTGTTAAGTTTTTCCCTTGGGATATTTTCCCTCTTTTGAAATTTAACTCAAAGGAAAAATGCCAAAAATAATTGGAAGACACACACACAAAAGCCTTGGAATGCCTCACAACTGACCTATTTTCTCACTCTTATAAAATGCCAGGGGTGTGTGCTGACTGTGTGCATGGACGGCCTGCCTTGGCCCCTACCTTGGTGAGGTCCTTGTATAGCTCTGGATAAAGCATCGCCACCTCTGGCTTCACATCTTGATCCAGCACTAAAGAGAACACTGGGAACATGGTGTATATAGTTGCATACCTTAAAAACCAAGAAGAAAGTTAAATCAATCTGAGAAACTTTGACAATATGACTATGAACATATCTCTAAGATAAGAGGTCAAAGTGTCAAGAAAAAAACAAACAAAAAATACTCCACAAAAACCAAAAAAATATGTTGGCAACCAAGTAGGATTATGTCTGAAAACTGAGTATTTATCCCATAGTACAATAATATGTTCTATATGCCACAATGACTATAGATAGTAAAAACTTAAAAAAAAATTTTATTACATCTTTAAAGCTGTGATCATCACAGACTCACATGCAGTTAGTTGTCAGGAACAACAGAGAGATGTCCTTTATCCAGTTTTGCTCACTGGTGACATCTTTAAAAAATATAGAATCTCACCACCAGAACGCACACCGACACATCACTACAGAACACCTGTCACATGAAGGTCTCATCTGCGGCCCTTCATGGCCTCAACCATTTCCCTTCCACCCCATCCTCCCAGAATAACTAAATATAGAGTGTTCTGCATCTCTATATTTTGTTATTCAAGAATGCTGTAAAAATGGAATTATACAGAAGGTAGCCTTTGGGGACTGGCTCTTTCTACTCTGCACAACTCCCTGGGGATTCACCTAGGCTGTTGCCAGGTCAGTAGTTCCTTTTTCTATGCTGTTGAGTATTTCGTGGTGTATGGATGAGCCAGTTTAACTATTATTCATTCATTAAAACACATCTGGTTAGTGCCAATTTTTATTACAAATAAAACTGCTATAAACATTCATTGCAGATTTTTGGTGAGAATTCATTTATTCTGGGCAGAAGTGCCAGCTAGGGTAGTGTGCCCAGGAGCAGAGGGGCTAAGTCACACAGTAGTAGTAGGTTCAGTTTTCTGAGAAATTGCTAAAACACTTCCCAGGCTGCAGGATTTACATCTACATCATAATGCCAAGGGACATTGTCCATGGCCCTTCATCACCGTCTACCTGTCTGCCCTTCTGGCAGGCTTGCAGTGGCTCTTCATGGTGTTTAACCTGCCCTGATGGCCAACGACATGGAGATCTCCTCACACGTCCCTGAGTGGACCACCTCTTTGCATCTGTGTTCATTTCCTAGTCGATGGGCTTTTGATGGCTGATTTTGAAATTCCTCATGCACTGTGGACATGTGCCTTGCAAGTGTCTCCTCTTCATTATCCAAAGGCTGTCAGTCTGTGCGACGCTTCCCTCACAGCACATGGCTCCTTCCAACAGCCAGTTCTGGGGAGGAACCAGCGGCTGAGTTGTTCCCCAGCATGATTGTGCTCTCTGGCTGCTCTCAAGGTATCTCTTTGTCTTTGGTTTTTGTCACTTTGATTATGATGTGCCTTGGCACGGATTTCTTTGAATTTGCTCTGTTAGGGGTTTGCTGACCTCATAAAAATCTGTAAGTTTACATCTTTTGCCCAACTCGGGAAGTTTTCAGCCAGTATGACTTCAAGTACTCTCTCAGCCCTGCGTCCCTCCTCTCCTTCTGCAACTGTGTTGTCTTCTTGCATGTCCCTGAGGCTCTGATCATTTTTTCGGTCTCGCCTCTGTTGTTCAGATTGAGTACTTTCCATTTTTCTATTCTCCAGTTTACTGAGTCCTTCCTCTGTCCCCTCCATTCTGTTGTTGAGCCTGTTCATGGCAAATTTTGTTTTGGTTACTTTTCATTCCTAAAACCTCCATTTGGTTCTGCTTAGAGTCTTCCATTTTTCTGTTGAGATGTTCCAGGTTTTTACTTGTCCCCAGTGTATCTGTTGCTGCTCATTAGAGCACTGACATAACTGTGTCACACTCTAGTCAGGGAATCCTAATACCTCTGGCGTTTCAGGGTCAGCCTCTACCCATGGCCTCTCCATTCCCTTTAAAGCCTTCCTGGTTCCTGGTATGGTGAGCAACTTCTGACTGAACTGGGAAATTCTGTATCATGTAGGAGACTCTGGGTCATTCTCAAGCGTCCTGACACGGCTCTGGTGGGGAAGGGTGCTGCCCCTTGTTGAACTGGGAACTTCTGGCTAATTTAAGTTTTGAACTCCCACTTGTAGGTAGTAGAAATATATAAAATATCAACATTTAGTGCTGTAAATCACAACTTATGGCTTTGGTCAGAAAAACATAGTTCATTAAGCTTTATTAAAAGAAGTTAGAAGTCATTTTAGTTTCTAGGGCAGAATATACAAACTAAACCAATTTTGTTGACTCTCCACGGCCTGTGCAAGCAGGTGGGGGTGGGCATAGCTTTCCCCTGGCATCTGACTAGAGTAGCATGAGTATCGTCTATAAGTGTGTTTTCCTGGGCCCTTCCTGATCCTTAGGAGAAAAGGAGCAGGCTTTTGTTGGGCCTTTTTATTTCTGTGCCCAGTGGTATTTCCAGATTGCTGGTTCATAAGATCCAAATGTGGAAACCCTGGGGGCTCACAGCAGGCCACTCCTCAGAGCCTGAGGGTCCTGTATGGTTTGCCTCTCCCTCTTCTGGAGCCTTCTCCTATGTGTGATCCAGGGTTTTTATTTGTACTTTGCAGAGGGAATCAGGAAGCACATATGTAATCCATCTTCCTGGGAGTGAAACAGGGTTGCTTTTTTCAAAATAATTTTCTCCTATAAAAAAAGTGTTCGAGTTGGAAAAATGATCTAGTGGCAGCCTTGTGACATGTGGACACCTAGAGGCTAGTTCTGTGTTAATATGACTGGGATTCCACAGTCACTAAATGCAGGCTGCTCTATGTTTTAAACTACTGTGGACTCTATGTGAAACATTCTCTTCAACGAAGGAACTCTTCAGTCTGTTTTCTGATTTCTTGGTGGATTATTCAGGGGCAGAAATCTTACACTAAGTATCTACATGCTCAGAATACTTTATCTACAAACAACTTTTCATTTCTTTATCAGGTTATACCTGTGTAACACTGTTATACTTTCTTCCAAATCTGTAATTACTTTTGTTAATTTTGTTTAAACAATTCCCACTCCGCTTAGAATTTAGGAACTTAACAGGGCCAAATAATTCACGAAGAGCCAGCACTATGGAAGACAGAGGGGTCATCCCCTTGTGATGCCTGCTGATGTGAGAATAAGTTCCCGTGTAACAAAGGCACAAGATCACTCAGTCATTCAGCCTGTGAGTCACTGATAGTGCCTGGAAGGATCACATGCAGTCACTATTTTTGTATAGTGTACTGATGAGAACTCTTGTCTTTATTTATACCATTTTTCTATCTTTTCAACCTTTTCAATAAAATTACTACACCCTCTTTTCACAGATTCCCTCTCTCGAGGTGTAACTTTCATTGTGCAGTCTGATGAGTTCTGACAAGTGCTACATAACCTCCACCAGGATCATGGTATAGAGCACGCCCTATCCAGGAAGGGAAGGCCCCCATGACCCAGGGACAGGTGGGGGGCCTGCCTCCTGGTGCTACTGCAAGAATCCTGTATAAATGGGACTTACACCAAGTCCCGTATCCATGGGATCATGTAGCATGAACCCTTTTTGTCTAGCTGCTTTCTCTGGGCATGGTGTGTTTGAGCTCCCCCTACCACTATGCATGTCCTCTGCTCTGTCTGTCCTGCTGAGTGGCAGGTCACTGTATGGATATAACATGATGTGTTCTTCTACCCAGCAGCTCATGAACACTTGGGTTTTTCTAGTCTTTGCTTAACATAAACCTGTGAAGGCCCTGTTGGAGTCTAGGTGTAGATATGGGTGTTTTCATTTCTCCTGGTAGACACTGAGAAGCAGGATTGTTGGGCTGTCTGGTAGGTGTATGGTAGATTTTACAACTGTTTCTTGGAGTAGATCACATTCTACCTTCCCACCAGCAACACAGACCAGCATGGCATCCCTCTGCTGACACCAGTGGGAGTGGGACGGGGGCAACAGTCTTCCCGACTCACTGTGGTTTAAACATGTATTTCCTGACAATGAATGACGTTGTGAGATATATGTACTGAAAACATTTCCTCCACATCTGGCTTTTTATTTGATTAATACTGTCTTTAGAAGAGCAAAAACTTAATTTTCATGAAGTTCATCTTGTCAGTATTTTTCTTTGTCCCACATTTTGTGTCCAGGAAATCTTGGCCTGCCAAAGGTGTCAAGGTTCTGACTGTTTTAGAGTTGTTTCCCTCCTCCAAGGTATCGCCATTCCTACTGCCTCTCATTCAGTATCTGCATAAAGCATGTGTGTCTTATCCTGTTTTCCACTCAACAGGATTAGAGGATGAACCTGTTTCCTATTATGCTGGAGGCGTGCAATCCCTAGGCCCTCTGTGGGACTCACAGGTCTGTCCCTGCAGGAGCCGAGAACTGTCTCTGAATGTCACTCCCCCTCTAGAGAGCTTGGTGAAGACATGAACTGCTATAACAAGCAACTCTCAGTCTCTCCATCTGAGTCACTCACAGGCATACAAGGAAGATCCACACACAAGGAAAATCCACACCCGGGATGCCTGTGTGGCGTGTCACTAGAGTGAGTGCTGCCCAGGTGGCTGCTGATGTCTCTGGGGTGATACCACTCCAGCTGAGATGGAGCCTCCAGAGGTGTTCTCGTGGGCCCTGAGGGTGAGCACGCTGCCCAGGCATGTCTCAGCCTGATTCGTTGGAGGTCACAGTATGTCTCTAGGAGGAGCTGTGGCCAGTGGCACCCAGGAGAACTTGCCTGTCCTCGTGGGGCTTGCGGGGAGCAGGACGCAAACCTGCAACACAGTACCACAGCCTAGAGGCACACCATGGAGCTGGGGACTCCGGGACAAGCAAGGCCACAGGGACAACTGGTAGTGCTCCAGGCCAGGGAAGAAGCATCATGTGCAAGGCCAGAGGAGAGAGAAAACCTGAAGACCAGAAAGAGAGAAGGAAAGCAGAAGTCCGAGAGCCAGCGCCAGCACATGGCAGTGGGACAAGTCTGTGCTCCTGGGAGGCTGCAGCTGCAGGAATGATGGGGACATTCCCTGGTGACTTCGCCTTAGGAAGCAGGTAACTTAAGGGGTCTCCCATGTTTAAGGGAAACTTAACACAGGCACAGACTGACACTTCCCTGTATTTTGCTAAAATATTAGGAATTCATGGGAGTCGGGCACTGTCAGGTGAAATGGCATCTAGAATGCAGATGTATGTAAGCAACACTCCAGGGAAAGAGGTCCCAGAGGAAGGCTGGATACATTGGGGATAGGCGGTTGCGTGAGTGGTCAGCATAGCAGCACCTGGAGTCAACCTGCATGCACTCAGGCCTAGGTTTTGCCTCCCTCAAATGAGCTCCTGAGCTGCCTGGGTCTCCCTCTCATCTCTCACACACAAAGAGGGTGAATGCATGTTTAGGCCGGGAGCACCAATGTGACAGACCATCCCATCAGGGCATTTTCGAGGCTATGTGGGATGGCCCAGGTCAAGGAGAGCACGAGCTCTGCTAAGGTGGGGAAGGGAGCAGCTGGAAGAAGCTTTACCTACTGCCACACAAGCAGTTACCTTATTTTCACTTCTAGGCAAGACCATGAAGGATGAGGAAGAGAAACTCCACTCCATTCTCAGAAGTTGCCATTGTGCAGCTTTGGTAGGAAAATGACTTTCATTACAGACTACACACCAGCCACACCTGAGATATCCTTTCTAAGATGCCCGAGTGGGTATCTTTGTATTGCGTGTGTGTGTTTTTTATTTTCTGTAGAGACAGTATCATGTCGTGTTGTCCAGGCCTGTCTTGAACTCCTGACCTCAAGTGATCCTCCAGCCTCGGCCTCCCAAAGTGCTAGAATTATAGGCATGAGCCACTGTGCACACTATGTCATGTCCAAGTTCAAAGAAATGTCCAGTGCTTTCTTTCTTTGTCCTTGCCTGACCATACTCCAGGCACAGCAAGGGGCAACTTTGGGAGGGCCCACCTGTGGCTGCTCAAGCCTGCTCCTGGCTTTGTCACCTTTTGCCACGGGCCCTGGCAAATAATCTCAGAACTCACATACTCCTGACCTATGTTATGACTTCCCTATGAAAACAAAGTCTACTGAGATGGATACCCATCTCAAGAGGAGCAAGCCTGTAGGTGCTATCCTGAAGTTCACCCAAGTCAAATATTTTCTTTCACATCAGGATTATTGGTTCTAGACAGTGTATAAAGAATGACTGAGAAACAATATTCTCTACATGTTTCTCCAAGAGTTCTCTCCAGCAATGCCACTAGGTACTGTAAAACAGGGACTGTCACTTACCCCACCATGAGGAATCCCTGGTACAGAGGAACAGATGCAAAGTAGAAGACTGAAGAGAACACAGCCTGGAGAGAAGACACCACAGGTCACAAAGCAGCAACTGCCATTCTCCTGATACTGTCCTGCATTTGGGCCTCTAGAGGGCCTTGCTACTAATGGCTCAACAAAATACAGATCCAGTAAAACCAGGCACCCGTGCCCTGCTGTGATACTGCTGTCACAGTCTTCCCATGCCCCGTGCAGGGGCCTGTGCCCAGAGGCTTCAGTACCTGCATGGTGGAGATGATAAGGCCCCTGTGCATGACAAACTGCCCAAGCGCTGCAGACCTCTTGTAGCTGTTCCTCCCATGCACCATGAGCAGTCGGCCCAGATGCCTGAACTGGGTGATGGAGAAGTCGGCTGCCAGTGAGGCCTGCTTCCCCTCCTGAAAGACAAGCACAGGTGCCTTTCAAATCCCTGCAGACACTGGAAATCCTGCCCCAAAAGTCGGGTTTTAGAACTCAGTCTAAACCTAAAAAAGATGGAGGTTCTCTGTGCACAGCTGTGAAAGCTTTGGCTGACCACTGGAGACAATGCCTTTGTTCGCAGGCCCAGCCTGGGTGACAGGGCAGGAGGAGCTGCCACACCTGCCCAAGGTACGTCCCAGGCACTATAGAGGCACTGGCTTCTGCATTCTGTGGGTATCACAGGTGTTGGGTGAAGACATGCAGCACGCGCTGGCCTGGAGACTGCTTGATCTTGGATTTTTTTCAAGGTAATCCTCTAAACTTCCATTTTCTCACATTAAAAAAAAAATCAACTTCTGTTTCACACAGTTGTTGTAAGGTATTACAAAAGAAAGCCAAGGAAAAAGCCAAACTTGAGAAGCGCTGGTTTTCTGGGTATGTTTTTATTTCAGTGACTATGGAGAAAGAGATAGGAACACAAGGAAGGCTGGCATGGAAGACAAAAGCAGACCCCAGCCTGGTAAACCCAGAAACAAGGCACCCCAACAGAGATATCATGTGACACAGGCGAGGTGCACTGCAGGCACCATGGAGGTGCAGCAAAGTTGGCAAGAGGACCTGGTGACATCTGAATTGAACCTCTGAGAACAGGTGGCTGGAAGTGACAGCTTCCTGCATGCCACTCCAGAAACAACAGTGTTGTTGATGGCCCAGCACCACATACTTTGGCTATCACCTGAGTTTCACAAAGATTGAATACACTGGCTGGGAGACAAGGATGCTGACCTATTCACCTCTTACTCAGGGGGTGGCTCTTCAGTGTGTACTGAGTGTGAGTTGAGTGCATGCATTGACTGCCAGGTCCTGACTATATATGTATTGGTAGGTGTACAAAGACCACCAGGTGCTGACTATATATGACAGGCTTGCGTGGACTACCGGGTGCTGACTATATATGTGTACTGACTGCCAGGTGCTGATCATATATATATTGATGGGAATGTGCTGAACACCGGGAGCTGACTATATACATGTAGATGGGTGTATGCTGACCACCAAGTCCTGACTATATTCATGTTGATGGGTGTGCACTGACTGTCCAGGTCCTGACTACTTATGTGTTGATGGGGTACACTCACCACCAGATGCTGACTACATACATGTTGATGGGATGCACTGACAGCCAGGTGCTGACTGCATATGTTTTTATGGATGTGCACTGGACACCAGGTCCTGACTACATATCTGTTGATAGGGTGTGCTGACCACCAGGTGTTAACTATATACATGTTGATGCAAATGCACTGACCAACATATGTGTTAGTGGACATGTGCAGACTACCCAGGTGCTGACTACATGCATGTGCTAACTGCCCACGTCAGGACTACATATGTGTTGGTGGACATGTGCAGATCACCCAGGTGCTGACTACATGCAAGTGCTGACTGCCCACGTCCTGACTACATGTGTTGATGGGACCACCAGATGCTGACTACATTGTGTTGATGGGTATGCACTGACTGCCAGGTGCTGACTACATACATGTTGATGGGTGTGCACTGGCTGCCAGGTGCTGACCACATAAATGTTGATAGGAATGCGCTGGCCACTAGGTGCTTCACATGTGTTGACAGGAATGTGCTGACTGCCCAGGTCCTGACTACATATGTGTTGATGGGCATACATTTACTGCCCAGGTGCTGACTACATACATGTTGATGGGAGTGTGCAGACCACAGATGTGCTCAGTGTGTACTGACAGAAGGACAAACCTACCTTTCCTTCAATCCCAATTCCACAGTCTGCTGCCTGAATCATGCTCACATCATTTCCTCCATCACCTGGGAAGCATGAAAAGTTGTAAATTAAACATACCATCTATCCATGGTCATATGTTTTTCTTTTTTCCCACTAGAGGTTGTTTTTAGGAATTTCTAATAATGTAGATGAAGCCCATCTAGTTTTAGACAGGGAGCAGAACTTTGCCTATGAAGGTCTGAATATAGGTATCTTTAAGCGTCCCTGTTAACAGGGAGGCGGCGTTTTGTACCCATGGACAGGTGGCTCAGTGCATCCTTGCCCTGCACAGGGCATGCTCACCAATGGCACAGGTGCGTCTTCTTGTGTGTTGCTGCAGCAGTGTTACGATGCGAGCCTTCTGCGTGGGCGAGCAGCGGCAGCACACCACAGCGGGGCACTGGCAGGCCAGCTCCACAAATTCGTGCTCGTAGTACTTTAGGCACACCTGCAAGGGAAGGCCTACGTTATTCTGCCTCATTGTAGAACACACGTTTTCAGTTCATGGGATGTGGGAAGCGCAGAACCATGGTAGGGAAGCAGCGGCTTTGCCAGGGATGAGTGTTGTCCTGGGTCCTGCCTGCCAGCCCAGCCTCCGTCCCCATTCGTGCCACATCCTGTCCTGGTGCTGAAGGGAAGTGGTGGCCTTGGCAGGGGTATCATCCTGGCTCCTGCCTGCCAGCTCAGACTCTATCTCCATTTACAGCACACCCTGTCCTGGTGCTGGGGCTCTGGTGACAGGCAGAGCTCACAGCCATGGGGGATGCAGGGCAAAGGGACGGGGAGACCCCAGCTAGGAAAGAACACACTGGCCACAGACTGAAGGCCACGGGTGCTGGGTGGAGAGCAGCTTAGATGAGGGGCCAGGGTCAGTGGCCTCAGACGGGACCCTGAGCATCAGAGGAGTCACCTTGTTTGTGAGCCTGGGATGACCTAGGCCTTCCTCTGAGGTGACTCTTCAGGCACCCTAAAGAAACTTCCCCATAGAGACTGTGTTCTTCTTAAGGTGGGTTTGGCTTCACTTCCCAGCACATGGTCAATGATCATGGTGTGATATGCAACGTCAACCACATATAACCCTTGCCAAGGCATCACTATCAATTCTTGTAACTCCCCACCTTGGCGGAGAAAACCCAGGTTCCCAAAGTACTGCCTGAGAAATGTGCAGTCTGTTCTCTCTACTTCCTACTCAGAATTGACCCCCAGAATAAAGGACAGGCTATCAGAAACCTGGGTTCTTAGACTACATGGGATACAAAGCCACCAACAGTATATATTTACTTGCAGGAGACGGAGACAGAAGCATCTGCCAATCTAGCTATCTCAGCTTGGGGCCAGACCTATGAGGTTAATGAGGAGCATTCCCACTCCACCAGAGATGAGACTTGGGGAGGAACCTCCCACAGCCAGAACCAAGGCCTGGGCAAGCTCTGGCCATGCTCCAGGGCTATCTCTACCAGGGTCTCTTAAGGGACTTCTCAGGCTCATGACACACTCTTAGGGCACTAGGAATCTCCAAAAGCAAGACCCTAGGTACAATTATCACTCATTCATTGAATGACAGAAAGCCCCTTTCTCTCCATCAGACAGCTCTCTTGTGTCTGGACACATGTTTGGGAACATTGGTTTGAATAAACTTAGATCAAGAATCATGGGCAGCAAAGTCAAGAATTCAGTAAGTGGAGCTATGAACGACGAGCACAGGGCCAGACAGACATGCTCAGTTGGGAAACAGCCTTCTCTCACACAGACAAGACAACATGTGCTCAGGTGGGGACCAGCCTTACCTTACACAGACAGACGACATGTGCTCAGGCGGGGACCAGACTTACCCCACACAGACAGATGACATGTGCTCAGGTGGGGACCAGCCTTACTTCACACAGACAGATGACATGTGCTCAGGAGGGGACCAGTCTTATCTCACACAGACAGATGACACGTGCTCAGGCAGGGACCAGTCTTGCCTCACACAGACAGACGTCACGCACTCAGACGGGGACCAGCCTTATGTCAGACAGATGACACAGGCTCAGGCAGGGACCAGCCTTACCTCAGAGGGAAAGAGAGATGACACATACTCAGGTGGGGGCCAGCCTTACCTCATAAACAGACAGACAGACAGATGACAAGCGCTCAGATGGGGGTTAGCCTTACTTCAGATAGACAGATGACATGTGCTCAGGCAGGGACCAGCCTTACCTTAGAAAGAGAGATGACACACACTCAGGCGGGGGCCAGCCTTACCTCACAAAGATAGATGACATGTGCTCAGGCGGGGACCAGACTTAGACAGATAGACAGACAGACAACACACACTCAGGTGGGGACCAGCCTTAACTCACACAGGCAAATGACATGCACTTGGGTAGGAACCAGCCTTACCTTAGAGAGACATACAGATAGACACATTCAGGCGGGGACCAGCCTTACCTCCAGAGAGTCCCCAGATATGACCAGTGCACAATCATGCTTTCTTCTAAATGCATTCAGCTCCAAATGGGCCTCTCCTCGACTGGTCACCTATTCAGGGGAAAAAAGCATCCCAAGGTATAATGCCATCTAAACAGAGGCAGAGACAAATAGGATGTTACTACCGAATCACAGTAAGTGGTGTTAGAGATGTCTGAAACAATAGGTGCTTGACGTATTTAGACCTCCGACATGGTCCTTTGAAACTTCCCTTGAGGTGCTGACTGTGTCTACACTGAACACAAATCGTTTTGAACTGTGGCAACTGAAAGCAAGAAACTTACAGTATCGAGTGTAATTAAAGTATTACACTTTCATGAGTTTTAGGGTAACTGGATTTTATAAATATACTCCCCTAAGATGTAACAATAATGTGTAAGAATTTTCTCATGGTTTACAAAATAAGCTGGTTATGTAACAGAGCAACAGGCAGGTGGGCTGGTGCGCATGGACTGAACTCCTAGATCTTGACTCCTGAGTTCGTGAGCATATAGCCCTGGAGAACAATGGCTCAGTACAGCAGGATGCAGAGCCCAAGGAAGGTGAGTGCCTGTCACCACTAACCAGATGAGAGAGAGTAACCGCAAACTGGGGTTTCATTTAAACATAGTTCTTTTCATAATATGTCAAATGATGCAAAACACTTAAAAATTGTTTGTGTTATTTCTACCATGGGTTTTGACTAATTCCACTGGATTTTGTTTAGTGTTTGAAGGATTTAAAAAATCTGAACGAGTAAAATAATTAATTTTAGAACAAAAACATTTCAGAAACCAATGTACTGAATTTTTGACACTCTTTCAGTGGTGATTTTATGGGGCATAAAAGAAACGATATATTAATAGGACTGAAATAAATTAAAAGCTTCATGTAGTTCAAATTAACAATCTCAGATTCATCTTTAAATAGGTAGGTTTTATTGTGAAAAATTTAATTTGTGGTTCTATAACACTGAAAAGTCAACAAAAATTGATCTGAAGTTTTATCAGAAACATTAATAATTTAATTGCAAATAGTAGTCTGCAGGGCCTAATTTGTGATTCTGATGCTTCAAAACAAACTACATTTACATGTAAATTATATTCAAATAACTATTTCTGTAGGTGCAAGTGCTTCATTTAGAACATATAATGTCTGTTCACCCACCATCAATCAAGACCTAAGAAGTTTTTATATTTTTGTTTGAATTAAATTTAGTCATAACTAATAAATACAGTAAACACATAACCTTAGATCATTTCTATTAATTTTCTTTGAGCTAATTAAGAAAGAGCATTTACTCTGACAATGGTGGCAGATTAAGAACACATTTCTATTTTGTATTTAGAGCTTGTTTCACAAAAACAGCTTCTGGACCACACATAATGTGTATAACTAATAGAAAAATACAACTTTTTAATCAATGTAAAAATGTTACACATTGAATAGGAAATGACTGCTGTGTGTCTATTTTAAAATAAATTATAATAAATACTAATAGTACAACAGAAGAATACTTATGAGTTTAGGGACTGTTCATTATCAGAAAGTAGCTGTTGATCACATTTAATGTATGTGACTAAAAATATCTATTGTTAGCATGTTTTTATACAGTAAGAAACAATTACAAAATTCCTTTTTGAAAGATATTTAGTAACTAATACAAAACTGCACATACATTCTCACAAAGATAGGCTTAGTTGTGAGATAAACATTTACAGACTCAAAGTGTATGTAGGTATATACTCACAGGTCTGAAAATATGGACATCCTGTGTTCTCGACACCAAATGTGAACTTTTGGCAATGCAAGTGGCTGTCTCGAGCTTATCTCCTGTGAGCATCCATATCTATGAAGCAATTTACACCAGTAAGCTTCCACAATACAATTACACTGCCCTCTCCTGAAAGTGTCTATTCTTTTCTTTCTTTTTTTTTTTTTCTGAGTCAGTCACTGTCGCCCAGGTTGGAGTGCAGTGACACACTCACAGCCACTGCAGCCTTGACCTGCTGGTCTTTGGGCTTAGGTAATTCTTACACTTCAGCCCTCCAAGTAGCTGGAACTACAGGCGTGCACCACCATGCCTAGGCAAAATTTTAATTTATTATAGAGATGAGGTCTTGCTACATTGCCCAGGCTGGTCGAACCTCTGGGCTCAGGCAATGCTCTTGCCTTTGCCTCCCAAAGTGATGGGATTACAGGCATGAGCCACTGTGCCTGGCCAAAGTGTGTGTTCTTAGACAGATACTGGCATGCCCATTTCCATAACAGCATTATTCACAACAGTCAAAAGGTGGAGGCAACACTGGTGTCCATCAACAGATAAATGGATAAGCAAAATGTGGTTATATACACAATGGAGTACTATTCAGCCTTAACAAGGAAGGAAACCCTGCCACCTGCCACCATGTGGTTCAACCTTGAGGACATTCTGCTGAGTGAAACAAATTAAGTCACAAAAGGACACATCCTATGTGATTCCACCTACATAAGGCCCCCCAGAGTCGTCATATTCATAGAGACAAAAAGCAGATGGTGGGTGCCAGGACCTGGGGACAGGCATGGGGAGTCAGGGTTTAGTGGGGACAGAGCTTCAATTTGAGAAGAGGATAAAGTTCTGGAGAGAGATGATGGTGATGGTCGCATGGCTATGTGAATATACTTAATGCCATGAACACTTAAAAAAATGGCTAAAATGGTAAACTTTATGTTATATATATTTGACCACAATAAAAATGCATCTGGACTTACTTAGTTAAAACAAGTGAGAGCAAAGTGATTTGGCAAGTCCAACAGGTGTCTAACGAGGGCAGTGTATGTGTCAGAGGCAACATCTACACGGCCCTCTGTGCCAAGTACACTGGCTCGTCCAGGCAGCACACAGGCAGGGTTTGCTGGGATAGGAGGATCCTTAAGAACCTCATTGGAGCTTGCTAGTTTTTCAGGTGGAAACTGAGGTTCAGATGGGTAAACAGCTGGAAGTTGTTTATATCAAATAAAACATGTTAAACAATAGCACTTTCACATTCAACAAGCTGCAAGCTCACACAGATTATGTATGCATATGCCCCTAGGCCACAAAAAGAGTAAGATATCAGGACATTTTATATATAACAGGGTATTTTATACAACAGAAAAAAACTTCCAGTCATATTTTATTATCAGAATTTTCAGAAATATGTGTTTTTTGAAACAGAAAAAAATTTACATGGTCTACTGATTATTTGCTTAGGAGTAATCTACCTGTGACCCATCTCCATGTCTGCAGATAGGTGCTTTTTATTCATTGTACACATTAACATTCACTTTACTGGAGCCAGCACTGTAGCAACACGAGTGCAGTCCAGGAGACCAGGGAGAGTGGGTTGAAACAGCATCCCCACGTTTCAAAGGAATGTCTGACATCGGGTGTTACAGTATGTAAAGAGACAGGAGGGATCTGATCCTTACAGCAAATGTAAAGAAAGAGTAGAACTCAAGAGAGCCACACTGTTTAGTAAATAATTCATATCCCCCAATTTTTGTACAGGGGATATTTACTACTTTAGTATTTTGATAGTCTAGCAAGAAATACACTGACTTGAAATTTATTAAATATTACAATAAAATGAACAGGTCATCTGTTTCTTATTGATTGATTGATTGGTTGTAGGGTCCTGGTATGCTGCCCAGGCTGGTCTCTTTTGTACATTTATTTTATACCCTGAGACTTTGCCAAAGTCCTTTATCAGTGCCAGGAGGTTTTTGGCAGATTCTCTTGGGTTTCCAGGCTCGCTCAAACTCCTCAAGGAATCATCCCACCTCAGCATCCCAAGTTCCTGGGAGTACAAGTGCATGCCACTATGGTCAGCTCATCTGCTGCCAATTAATCACATTTCTTCATCTGATCGTTTGGCTGTCTAATACATCAGGTTTAGGTAACTTAAACATTCTGAGTCTGAACTGCTCTCTTGTAATTCTGAATACCTATCTAAACAATTACTCTGAAACCAGATATACTCTAACGCCATACTATCTACTGCTATCTTGAACTAACATTCATACCTTCAAATCTCTTCATGCATCCAGATTCCTGAAGAGCAAGAAAAATAGACATCTGCTTTCTGTCTATATCACAAAACTTGTGGAATGGGTGTCTAATGGGAAGTCAGGCCTAGCTCTGCGTTCTGACACCTTCCCTCAGTCTTGTCTAGCTATCCTGAAGTTCTTCTTTCAAAACTAAGTTACACTTTTTCATTCTCAAAAGTACAGTCCCATGTTTTTGAGGCAGTTACTAAAATAAATGTCCCTGACCACTCTGTCATTGAACTTTCAGCTTCAGTGAGCACATGGGATAAGAAAGCAGCCTTCTGAAGCATGAACCTACAGCATGAAGTGCTAATGTATGCTGTGCACAGGAGGACCCATCAGTAGGAGAAAGGCAGGCAGTGGGTGGGTAAGGAGCCCATCGCACAATGTCCAGGGAAAAGCCACCAGGAAACTCTAGCATGATGGAGACTCTTCCCTTGCCACTGTGAGAGGCACCCACACTCAACCTCACAGATACCATGTTCCAGCCACCAATCTCAGGGCAAGCAGCTGATGAGACAGGGCCACCCGGGGCAACAGGCAGGAGAGAGGGAACGGTAGCCCTGGAGATGGGGCATCCTCTCCATGGACAAGCACTGGGAAGGACCGTACACGCCTTCCAGGAGCCTGAGAGTGGAAGGTGCTTCTGGAGAGCTCTGGCACATTGGGTGTCTCTGCAGTGGTGCAGGCAAGCCCCAGGGCGGGCAGGAGAGTGACAAGAGATTCTGCCCTGTGTCTTGTGCTTTCTGAGTCTATCACACTATGAATGTGTCACTTCTTCAAAACATAAATGGAATAAACAGGTGAACTAGACACCCTCACTCCAGCATTTGGTTCTGTCAGCACGCAACAATCCTGAATGTGGCACAGTTCACTGAAGAATGTGGCCCAATGCTCCCGTGAGGACTGGACTCTACGTGTCCCTGCTCCCACACACATGCATCACCCTACATGCACAGGGGTGGGGAGATGGGGCTGTGGAAAGCCAGTTGTTGCAGGGAGGGGGCCAGCTCTACACGAGGTCAGGAAGCTCAGACCTGCGTGGCATGAGAATATGACAAGCAGAGGGAACGAACAGAGAGCAGGGCTGAATGGGCCCCATGGAAGAGTCCATGTGTCTTGCAGGGGTGTGCATCCATCCCTGGGCCATGGTACGCAGTGGGACTGCACATCGGGAGGGTAAGGTTCACAGCTTTGTATTCTTACATTTTAGGTTTTCAAAAACTGGTCCTTTCTGTTATAGGCTCAGTGAAAAGCATTTTTCAAAAAAAACATTTAGAGAGCAATTTAGAGAGCATGTTTCTAGCCAAGAATCCAATTCTAGGATGCTTGCTTGAAACAGAGTAACTCACCATAAACTCAGGTCAGAGAACCTGAGGTTTCATTCCTTTATTACGTGAAAGGCTTTCAGACTGAAATAATATTAGAACAAAGACAACGGGCAAGGGTCAAAAGACTTATCCATGGAAAGAAAATCCATTGTTGAGAAATGCTTCTGAAAGACTGAGTGGCCACGAGAGGGTAGAGGTAGCATGGAGACATGTGCAGCAGCTGGCCTCAGACAACCCAGTAAAGACAGAATCTGCTGTGCGGCCCCAATGCCTGAGATCCCAGGAATGTTGCAGAGCAACATGCCACAGAGCACAGGTACATAAGAACACGGCACGGCCATGGGGATGTGTGGTACCTTAATGCCGGCATTGCGGAGTGTCTCCAGTGTGGGCCGCACATCAGCCTGCAGTCGATCCTCCACACCTGTGAGACACAGCAGCTCCATCTCTCGCTCCAGGCTCTCTACCACGGCAGCCACCTTCAGTGCCCTGTCATGGATGCTTAGCTTGGCTTGACTGTAACGGCTCTAGGACAGAGAGGGACAAGCTTGTATGCATGTGTGTGCAGGTGCAGAATGTATACCATCGGCTCTGATGACAGTGAGGGACACCCTGTGTGTGCATGTATACCTATCCCATGTGTCCTCAGCTTGGTTGGACTGTGTCATCAAGGACGTGTAAAGCCCATGAACACTCACAACCTTAAGGAAATGGTTTGTTGGTGGAGCAGGTTGAGAAACACGGAGAGGGGTTGCTCCCACCTCTGCCAGAAGAAAGCTGCCCTTGCCGCTGAATTTGTGCTTCTGGCCTCACAACTTCATAGAACACAGGCTGAACTTATTTCAGAGGGAAACCAAGAGCCTGCCCAGGGTGGGAATGCTGGGGACCATGGGAGATGGAAGTGGCTCACCTCGAAGTCCAGGTACTGCTCTTCTGTTAGTGCCCTCTTTGCCACCACGAGTGTCCGCAGTCCTTCACGTGCCATGTTTCCACACTGAAAAGAAGAGATGGAGTCACAGGTCCCACGGAGGCCCTTTGCCCAGGCGCAGCAGCCTGATGACATGAGCCAGTACCATCTCTGTGTGACCACAGAGGCCCTGTCCCCGGTCCTACCGACCACAGCGTATGTGTCTGAGAGCAGGAAATATCAGCTCAGGAGTGCAGGGTGGGCACAGGATGGAGAGAGAGGCTGGAGAGGCACACCGGTAGTACAGGAAGGAGACCAGGACTCAGAACCATGTGGTCACGGCTGAAGACTTTCAGCCAGACTGCCTCTGTGCATCTGGGCCAACTACCTAATTTTTCTATGCCTCAGTTTCCAAACTAGCAGCAAGAGCTCCCAAGAGGGGTGCTATGGGGCTAACCCAGTTCATGCATATTAATTCTGGGGTTCTGGATTTGACTTGCATGTAACCAGCCTTGCTAGTCAGCTGATCATGTGGATGAATGCAGTTCATGTGACAGGATGGGAGAAAAAAACCACGGGGCAGGGGTGAGGGCTGAGGCTGGCAGGATGAGGCCAGACCCCAAAGCTGCATGGGCCTGCCTGATGGCCAAGGTCTCCAAGGTGGAGAAGGACAAGACTAACATGACAAGACTAGAATGGAAACACACACCAGGCATGTGCACAGGTGTCAGAGCCACTCACAGTCACAGAAGGCATCTAAACAGTAATGTCTGCATCCCCTGTGAAGGGGAAAGGTAATGAACAGGTTCCCACCAAAGCTGTGGTGATGCCAATGCAACCTGTGTGCAGGAAGTCACAGCACCTCATACATAAGCTGCTCTTCCCAACAACCCGCATCACCCTCCTGGAGTACTGCCTGTCCCAAGGAAAGTACACTGTGATGTCCATACACAGAGGAGGCCACCATACTGGTCATGGGAAGCCAGCCAGGGCTTAAAAATTTAGAAGGTGTGATCACATCTTGATAACTGCACCCAGCGTCCCACACCTGGCCTTCCACACAGCCAGGAGGAGGTATCTGGCAAAGCCACAGCAGCCAATCCTGGGCCCTGGCCCTGTCTGTGCCATTCCCTCATGCAAAAAGAGGCACCCCAGCTGCTATGATGTGACAGGCAAACAGCAAATCCACTTGGTGCAGCTGCTTGGGACTGTAAAATGTGTGAGCATGCTTTCCTGCCATGTGGGCATCGTCTTGAACAGTAAGGAATGGTCTTGCCGACACAACCCACTCTCCAACTGGCACACAAGCTGGCACAAGGCAGTGACAGCCAAAAAGGGAGTGGTGACTGAGGCACATGGGGATGGAGGTGGGAAGGGCACAATAGGTCTTCTGGGGTTGGGCATGTCCTTGACACAGTTGTGAGCTACATAGTCCAGCCCCAAGGTGCTGAGTCCAGGAGTACGGTTGAGAAGCAGGGAACTGCTCATGGTAAACAAAGTACTGGGCTCCACAACAACAGGGGAGGGCACAGGCCCTGCCAGGAAACACTTCTCAGGGAATGGACCAAGGGTATCACTCCTCTGCTGTGTTGAGGATCCGGGGTCCTCCTCCATCGGGACACACACACAGCTCTCAGTTTATTAGTAAGTGTTAAGAGGCACGTCTATGCTTTAAAGTTGGCACTTCACTGTAATTCCGCACTTTGGGAGGCTGAGGTGAGTGGATTGCCTGAGCCCGCGAGTTCGAGACCCACCTGGGCAACTTGGCGAGACCTCATCTCTACAGTAAATCAAAAAATTAGCAGGGCATGGTAGCGCACGCCTGTAGTTCCAGCTACTTGGAAGGCTGAGGCGGAACGATCGCCGGAGTCTAGCAGGTTGAGGCTGCAGTGGCCGGGAGCCGCCACTGCACTCCAGTCTGGGCGACAGAGTGAGACTCCAACTCAAAAAAACAAAAAGTAAAGTTGGTCTTCAGAGAATAATGTGTTCCATACAAAATACCTTTTAAAAAATGATACAATGAACACTAATCTACCATTGTCTGGACTATCAACTTTGAAACTAACAGGTTCTATTCACAAGAGATAATCTACTTACAACATTTTAGGGTGACTCTCCCCTATGGACAAGGTTCATCTATGCCCTCATGGTCCTGAAAGACAAGCTGTCCAAGTCTCTTCCCTGTTGACTCTCAAACTCTGAATTTTGAAGAACGCTTTCAAATAACATTTATAAAGCTCCTGTCTCTGGGATGTTTCGCCTGCTTGGGGCATTTGTGATTGATAATACAGAGCAATAAGTGGTAATCATGTCTTCCTGAAATTCCTAGAACCTTTCGCAGCCAAGGTAGCCACTCCCAGCTCTACCTATGAGCCCTGTGATGAACCCAGCAAAAGCAGTGCTGCATGTAAACTTGCCCTGTGACCATGCCACACAGGGAAGAGAGAGCCTTTTCAAGGTAACTAAAGCAAACTCCAAGGAGCTGAGGATTCTACATTACAGCTAGAGAAAAACGGATCCAAAACGACATGCACTTAAGCAAATACATCCTAACATGATAATTAGTTACTTTGTTTAATTAAATCAGAATACTAGTAAATCTAGTTATGCAACATCACTACTGACTCTGAGAATCAGAAAGGTGACGACATTCCTAGTGAAGGCTCTGACCACCCAGATGGGAGCACAGGGAAGCCAGTCCCGCTGGCAGCAGCAGAGATTTGGTGCCTGACCCTGAACTGCTTTGGGAAGGCACCGGTAAACAACATGCCATACAGATAGGTACACTGCAGCACCCACATTCACACACAGATACCTGCCATCTCCTTCCATCTCCTCAGGTTCTCTATGTGAGACATTCAATTCTGATGAAGCCTGTTTACTACATCTGACAAGGAAAGGCTAAACTACAGGCAAATAAAAATTATTCTATCACTGATACTTTTTGAAATGCCTTTTCTCTTCTTCACCAGCAGGTTGGATCTGATGCGTCCTGCTGAATGTGGGGTTTGCGGGGAGAGGGAAGAGCTGAAGGAAGGCCTGGTGTCCAGCCCCTCCCTGCAAACCCACAGCCTCTAGGGTCAAGGGTTACCAGAAACAATGGAGGTGACAATCACTGTGAATTACAAAAGCAAGGCTGTGATCCTCTTATATGCTCTGTGTTTTCCAATTTTAATTATAATGACCCTTCAAAAAACAGATTTCAACTGTGTGGGACCACTTATACCCAGATATTTTTCAATAAAACATATATTGAGTGTGCCCACCCTTCCTGCCCCTGCTCATCCCACCTCCTCTACTTTCTCTGCCTTGGCCACTCTGAGGCAGCAGACTAGCTCCTCCTTCTCCTCTTCCTCCTCTTCCTCAGTTATTCAATGTGAAGACCAGGAGGATGAAGACCTTTATGATGATCCACTTCCACTTAATGAATAGTAAAGAGATTTTCTCTTACAATTTTCTTACCAACATTTTCTTTTCTCTAGCTTACTCCCTTGTAAGAATACAGCGTATAATACACATAACATACAAAATATGTATTAATCGACTCTGTGTTATTGTAATGCTTCCAGTCAGCAGGAGGCTATCAGTAGTTAAATTTTGGGGGAGCCAAAAGTTATATACACATTTTTGACTGCGGAGGGGTCGTTGGCGTCCCCAGCCCCCATATTGTTCAGAGGTCACTGTACTTGTCCTCTGTGATACTCCATCTAGGGCCTACTTTAAGTTTGTGTCTAGAGGGAAGGAGTCAATCATCTCAATACCTCTACCACCCACATTATTTTAAGTCTGTTCAGATTTACATATTTTTATATTTTAAGTTTTCAAAAACTGGTCCTTTCTTATAGGCTCAGTGAAAAGCATTTTAAAAAAAAATTTAGAGAGTACGATTCACGCCAGGAATCCAATTCTAGGAAGCTTGCTTGAAACAGAGTAATTCACCATAAACTTGGAGAACCTGAGGTTTCATTCCTTTCTTACATGAAAGGTTTTCAGACTGAAATAGTATTAGAACAAAGACATTGGGCAAAGGTCAAAAGTCTTATCCATAGAAAGAAAATCCAGTGTTGAGAAATATACACAGGATTTTTAATAAAGTTATCTTTGTGAAAAACAATCTGACATTATCTGTCTGTTGCAAGACATGTATTGATTTGACCTCATAAAGCTAAATAAATTAAACAAGTATTTTATAATTAATTGCACGTCATTATGACCAAAAGTAATTTTTATGGCATTTTACTAGGTCTTCAGGGAGTTTAATTTATTCATGTCCCTGATTAAATCAAAGTGCCCTGAAGGAGATATTGACTCATATTGCCAGAGTATGGTGGCCATGGGAGTGTGGTTGTCCAGCCGACAGATCCTTGTTGAGGTCGAGGGTAGGAGGGCAGAATGTGAGTACAACAGTAGTATGCACACAGCAGAAGGCCTTGCTCACAAGGACAACAGTCCTAGTTCGACTCTGAAATCCAACCACTGATTAACACATAAACTTAGCAATACATAATATACCCCAGGAGGCTAACTATAAATCAAATCTGTTTAGGGAGAACTTGAAGAAAAATAAGATTACTTATATTCTACTATATTTTCTCTTGCTAAGTGACTCTTATGTACAAATTAGCACTGATTAAAATTCTAATTATAAATAAAATATTATTTTTAAGTACTTATTTGTATATGTCTACATATACTCATCCACAAAACAAAAATAGCAGTTACTGATACAGAAATTAAACTACTTGAAATTAAATAGGATGCCTATGAAATTGAGAAGAACCATAAGCATATAAAATAACGAGTGGGAAAATGATACTGTATTTGGCAACCTATCTGGTTCCTATCAGTGCTGGGTCTGAAATTCTGACAGCTCAATTTATTCCAATGGTACTGTGTCTACAAGCTGTGGAAAGGACACCATTTTTCTATCATCTGTCCAGTAAAATTCTGTGAAAACACTGTGTGCAGTGCTAAGCATGGAACACTCACCTCCTCCTCCAGCCAGTCGTTGTACTGCACAATAGAAGACATGGCCATGTCCGCGCCTTTCATGTAGAAGTTGATTTCTGCTGTGGACTCATCCTGCACAGAATGAAAACCAGCACAGGTACGTTCAGGCTGCACTGTTCATCCAACCAGATCAGTCTGACAGTGAACACTCAGAAAAATCACTCTCAGTGGTGGTCTCCCTGTGGCAAGCTTTCCTACTTTCCTATCCCAAGGTTGCAGCCCATCTTCACTGCCAGTGCAACCAAGGACTGAGAACACCACTGCACCACTAGGAGATGCCCGGCTGAGGCTTCTGAAATAAAGTCTGTTGGACTGCATTAATTCTTTTAAATTTTCATAGCTTGATGGAACACTTCATCGTTTAATCAGCTTCTAAGATACATATTTGGTATATACTAAAAAAACTAAACAGAGGTATATTTTAGCAACTTTATGGTCATCACTCATTAAGTTAAAACTCTTTGGCAAGCTACTTTTGCTGAAAACAAAACAGCTTTAATTGGTTTCAAAACTTAACAAATTCTGCCTTAGTTGGTTTAGGAGAGCTATTTTATCTCACCAGAGCCACACTAGTTTCCCAGCCATAAAGTATTAGTTTGAATGTTTTCAGAAAAAAACTATAAGCATATAGCATCTGAGTAAATATTTAACTTTCCTTTTCTTTTGGGAAAGTTTTTATGTCTATCTTAAACACTCAGAAAGAAGCATCATAGGCAGGCAGGGCAGCCCACGCATAGCGATCCTCTTGAAGAAACAAGCTATAACGTATACCCGGACAATGACACCCATTCGCTTGCTCTCAGACGTGAAGGGAAACATCTGCAGGATGTGGAAGGTGAGGATCTGGCCGCCAGGGGTCTTCAGTTGCATGGAGGTGAGGTCTCTACTGACCAGGGTGAGGCCCACGCTCTCTGTCCACTGCACCAGAGCCACCTACGGGAAACCAGCAACACATAAGGCAACTGGCCATCTCTGGAAGCTGCATGGAAGCTGCCCAGCACCTTAGCAGTCAGGAATTTTGCTTAGACTTGCGAACTTTAGATCAATGCATTGAGAACTTTTTGTTCTTGTGGCCATGCCAAGTATGTCCTTCTGAGTAACATTTTTATAGTGAACTTTTACAGCAATGTGACAAAAAGTCCCTTGGTCTTTTTTTTTTTTTTTTTTAAATAAAGACCAATTACAAATCCTAAAAGCTTTTTTTTCCCTTTTTTTTTTCTTCCACAATTTGTACTTACAAGCTCTCTAGAACCAGATGGTTTGAAAATCTAGAATGCTGCATACACCAATCTGTCCTGGAGGCAGAGGAGGAAGTTGGCTACTTTTCAAGGTTCTTTTCACCCTGATTCGATGGACTACGTCAAAAAGCGAATAATGTGAATCTCATGCTTATTCTGATTTTTTTTCTAAAATAAAGTGGTGAGTGTGTCTACATGCAAAGTTTGCAAATTTAAAGGAGACAAAACAGTCAAAGAGGAACGCAAGTCTGGGTTCTAAGCCCAACCGTGAGAGTTGGCAGCTCTGAGGCTAGGCCTTCATTCTGCCAGTTCACGCTTCTCTTATGCAAATTGGAAAATATACTTGCAAAGTGTTCTAATGTTGGAATGATATGAGTAAATTCCTTGACATATGACAGGTACTTAGAAATAGAAGCTATTCTTATTTCTATTTACTAAGTTTTTAAAATTTAAAAATCATAAATGGGAGAAAAAATTTTAAGTTAATAATTTATGAGCAGTATTTTATGACAGTATTTTCTGAAAATAAGTTTATCTTTAAAAGCAACCTCACTATGAGACATGCACCAGTAAAAGTAAGATATCCAAAGCCTGCCATGCAGCTGGAGGGGCACCATCTGCAATGCCACCCACCAGCGAGGAGCAGGGGCATCCCAGACAAGGCAGTCCACAAGCACAGCCACACCTTCTGGGGTCTCCTGTTCACCCCACAGGCCTGCTGCATGACATCCCTTAGGGCCTACAAGGCTTCCGGCAAGAGAGCTCATCCTTGCCTTCAATTTTAACCTCCATCTCACTCTCAGTCAGATGGTTTTCAGATTTTGGGTTCCGGAACATTTTAAATGCTGTCTAGTGTCCAGGCATTATTAATTTGATGTTAGTGTGCTCTGGAAATCCCTGTGAGGATAAGTTCACACTCTGAGGGAGACTGTGCAGCGTTCTCAAGGGCTCTGGTGCAGAGGTCAACTGCCCAGGTTAGGATCCTGGAGTCCCCAACAACCCGTTTCCTCATCTACCAAATGGTGTGACAGAGGTCACCACTCAGGGTGACTAGGGGGATTCAAGACGTAACCTCTAAGAGCACCAGGACTGTTCAGCCATCTGTAGAATGTCAGGGCTCCACGCTTCTTGCATAGAAGCCTTTTATCCATGTTCTCTTAGGCAGACCAGCAATTCCTTTTGAAATCTGATTTTCTAAGTAACTCCTACAAATTCAACTACAGAACACCTCCAATGTTCAATGTCTGAGACTGTAGAAAAAAATCTGTAGTTTTCAACTCTTTGACCTCTACCTGGTGGCACACCATGCAGGGGAGGGACATGCCCAACATGGAGGAAACTGAATAGGACACACTGTCTGGAGCTGTAGCCTGGCTCTGTAGAATGAGGACTGGTATGGAGCAGAGTGAAGAGCAGTGTTAAGCCATTGCCCCACCTCAAGGGCTGTTTGCGGGTGCCACCGAGGGGGATGCACTGCAGTTGGCTTCAGAAAGTCACAGTGGACACTGCCCAGCTCCCCTATCAGGGACCTTAGGTGGTCTCTCAAACGTTTCTCAGGATCTCAAAAAGGAGCTAAACAAACAAGCAAGCTTACTGTTTTAGGATAATAAAGATGCACATAATTACACAGCTTAACACAACTTACTACAGCTTTAACTTATGTGTACTCAGTGCATTGGAGAAAAATGTACCTTGAATACATTTCTAATACTTTAAAAAGTTTACATGGTAAAGTTAGCTTATGATAAGGAGTAGAATGATTCTAGAAAAAAAGGATTGCGAGTGAAATAACAATGATGCCACATGTAGGGTTATTTCAGTTCAGAGTTGGAAATGCATCTTTAGAGAAGAGGCCTAATAGGTCTCAGAGAGCTGATGCCTGTCTTAGGCCAAGTTCTTCATCCGCACTCTGAAACAGAAGACACTGAGGGGCCATTTTCTATCTTCAAGAACCCTACACAACTAGTCTGCTCCAGGCAAAGGGAAAGCAGTCAGTCCATGGTGTATACAACCAAGCCCTGGTATGGACCACTCCATTCCCAGGCTCAGGGGCTGGAGGTGTGTCTTCAGCAGAGCCTGGTCTATTCTCAGGCTATGACCCTAAAGCTCCTGGTGCTCTTCTCTGACCCCACCCCCACTGATTTACTCCGTAATCTCAGTTGCTGAACACACTTCAAAAACCACTCTCTGAAGTAGGAATGACTATGTATTGTGTTTGAACTTCTTCCCAGCCCAAATATATCATTTAGAAATACAAATTTCATTTAAATTAATAAAGCCACACAGTTAGATATTTATAAATCCAGAGACAGTAAAATTTTACACATTAGACTACTAACTAAAGAGATGTAGTTGTAGAGAATTATTATTTTACTATGAGCAATATTGAAATTAAATAGTTTTCATATTTAGGGGAAAAGCAGCATCTGATCTTATTAATTAGCCCTGCATGTAAGAGTCAGGAAAATTTGTTGAGTATCTGCACAGTATCCACAGATATTCCAGGCAGAGGGACATGGGACAAGGTCTAGTTCCAGCCCTCAGCACTGGCTGAAAAACAGGTCTGACCTTGACCCTTTTCTGTTTAATCTCTCTACCTGTGGGTAGACTGAAAAATAAAAAAGTGCCCTTAGATGGGCAAAACCTGTTTGGTATCTAACCCCTGAGCAAATCTGAAAATGTGTTCAACAGGCTGGAATACTCTAGGACATTGGTCTGGGCAAAGATTTCTTGAGTGAGACCTCAAAAGCAGAGGCAACCAATACATAAATGGACAAATGGGATCACACCAAGCTAAAAAGTATCTGTACAGCACAGACACAAAGGGAAGAGACAGCCCATAGAATGAGGGGAAAACACCTGCAAACTATCCATTTGACAGGGGATTAATAACCAGAATATATAAGAAACAAACAACTCAATAGGGAAAAAAATTCAATTAAAAATGGGCAAAAGATATGAATAGAAGACATACACATAGATGGCCAGTGGGTATATGAAAAATAATCAAAATCACTAATTACCAAGAAAATGCAAGTCAAAACTTCAATGAGATTATCATCTCACCCTAGTTAAATGGTTTGTATAAAAAAGACAGTCAATAACAGATGCTAGTGAGAAGTGAAGAAAGGGGAACCCTCAGACACTTCTGGTGAGGATGTAAACTTGTACAGTTACTATGCAGAACAGTATAAAGGTTCTTCAAAATACTAAAACTACAACTACCATATGATCCAGCAATCCCACCGCTGAGTACATATCTAAAATAAAGAAACTCAGTATATCAAAGAGACACCTGCATTCCCATGCTTACTGCAGGACTATTCACAATAGCCAAGATGTGCAATCAACTAAATGCCTATCAATAAATGAATACATAAAGAAAATGTGGTATGTATACACAATGGAATATTATTCAGCCATAAAAAGAATGAAATTCTGTCACCTGTAACAACATGAATGGAACTGAAAGACATTAAATAAAGTAAGTTAGGCACAGAAAGATAAATATCATATGTTCTTACTCAAATGTGAAAGCTAAAAATAAACTGAACTCATGGAGACAGAGAACAGAATGATGGTTTCTACAGGCTGGGATAGCTAGTAGGGAGGGGAAATAAAAGCATTTAGTTAATGGGTACAAAAATACAGTTAAATAGAAGGAAGAAGAACTAGTGTTTGGTAGCAAAATAGGGAGACTATAGCTAACAATAATTTACCTTATATTTCAAAATAACTGTAAGAGTGAAATTGGAATGTTCCTAATACAAAGAGACAATAAATGCTTGAGGTGATGGATATCTTAATAACCCTGATTTGGCCATTACACATTGTATTGTATGCCTGTATCAAAATATCACATGTACCCATAAATATCTACAATTAGGTACTCAAGAGAATTTAAATTTTTTTTAAAATAAAGAAGAGAAAAGAGAAAACAAGAATAATCAAAAGCCTTAAATTTCTGTTGTATTTCAGGCTGGTCAGAGCAAATCTGAAGTAATGTATTTAATTTTACTGCATTTGAGAGTATTCTCTGACAGGAATGCAAACACTGGAACACTTTCCTGTTTGTGGGAGCTCCTGACTATGTAGAAAGGATTCCCCCAGGAGAATACTGAAGTGGTGTTGGGGTGGCTTGTCACACAGCAGGGGCAAAGTGTGATACTCACTGTTGATGTTCTGACACTGTTAGAAGTTGGGTGACACTGATGTTCTAAGGACACCACAACTCCAGGATGCTACACGTGTGTTAAAAGTTAAACAGTGTGTCACCCACAGGGTTCGAATTAGAACTTCCCCCTCTGACTCCCTGTGTTAGTATGAGTTTAAAATCATGCCACAGATAGAACAGTGCTGCTTTAGAGCTCCAACAACATGCTCCAAATCGCAATACTGAAAGGCACCTCTACAGGGAACAGTAATGCTTCTGTATCACCACTGCACATGTAAAATGAAAGTGAAACTCTGCTACTTTTTTTTCCAATAAAACTTCCCTGTAAGCTGCAAATGATCCAATACTCCCAAGGTTAATTTTCAATTTACACAGCGAAAGGTTACATTTTGACCCGCAAATTGTACCTTTTCGTGAACACCCTATCATCTCACAGGTGTTCCACTGCAACAGGACTGAGCTGTCTATATTTGGTGACTCGCATCTATTTATTATTTAGCTTATGCTTGGCTTCACAACCC